AGCTTGATAGAAGGATGAACGAGAGAGAGAGAGATGGAGGCTGTGGGTGTCATTCGTTCCCACCTGATGCATGAGGAAAAAAAATAAACCCACTTGTTTTCACTGTTGCCAAATGACTGTCAGGCTCTGTGAGAGGATTTCATCATTCTCTTCCATCCTTGTCATTAGTTCACCTGCCTCTTCAGCCTGCTCAGTGATTGTCTCTGATTGGACATATTTATCTCTGACTACTGTGGTAACCATTAGCGTTGGTGGTGTGGAGAGGTGGCAGTTTGACTAATCAGTTGTATCTGCCCTTGGTATAATGTTTTGTGTGCCTCTCAGTGTGTACAGCCACATTCAGAACTGTTGATTGTGTGTGTACGTTTGACTGAGTATTGCCAAGAAGAATATAAAGCAGCGAGCTGAACAATCAAAGGGGGTAGGGCGGATGGAAATTTGCAGCGAAAAGAACTGAAGAACTGTACAAAATCAAAGGATGTCAGTTTTTCAGAGGCAGAGCCAAGCTGTTAATCAATCCAACTGTCAGCGGCCCAGGCCAATCTCTTCCCACTCATTTGCTGCTTCCTACTTCAGCTTGGTAGGTCTCTTGTGTGTTCTTTCACCCCTAAACCTACACCTGAAACATTTTTCAAAAGCAGTTTCAATACTGTAGAAAAGTGTGCAAGGGGAGTTAGGTCTAATGCATATTGTTCCATAAGAGAGCAAGAAAAACTGTGTACTCGTCTGCTCTTCCCACATACTGTATAACTCTGAATCATCACGAAGTAGATATGCACTGGTTGGAAGAGAACAACAACAACAACAACAAAAGGAAGCAGATAGTGGAGGAAAAGGGAAATTAGGAAGAAGGAGCTGGGAAAACGTGGAAGTTGATAAAGAAGGCAAGAAGGGTGTGCGGTGGGTAATAATAAGAGGATAGAAAGATAGTGAGAGAGAAGGCATCTTTATTCTAATGTGGCCCTGCCTGTGCTTCTGTACGCCATCCTGAAAAGATGAATTTGCTGCTGTTATTTATATTTATGAATTCATGCCATTTGGCCCAGTGTGAAATGATGGGTCATTCTCGTGCAACAAGACGCGCTGGTGCTGAATTTACAATCACCCACACCAACTTCCCCCTTTCTCCCCATCTCCACCTTCCTCTTCCGTCTCTCCTCATTCCGCATGCCTCAACCTGCTGAATATGGATGGAAAGAGAAAAGAGAGGGACGGCGATGCAGAGGAGGAACATTTCTCTCACCGAGGTTGCCTCTGTCACCAGTTTCTCACCTAAGGAGATGTGGCACAGGAATTAATGGCATTCAGGAGCATGGTGAAATGGCTGCTGGCACTATGTATCTGTGTGTGTGCAAGCTACATGGGTGCAGCAGGTGAAATTCAGAGTATAGTCCCCCGAGAGTCTCAATCTGTGAAAATACACATGCAGACACTCAGAAGTGATGGTCAGTGAATGAATGAGGCTGATCTGCCTAAAAAATGTTAGAAGAGATGTTTTTTTTTCCATTTAAAGATGACTGTTTTTTACTTAGTTATAGGTATTATGAGTAAAAGCTATTATACTGCTATTCAAACAGGGGAATGGGGATGGTAACAAACACAACCACGCACAGAGGCATGCACGGCTCTGATTTTAATGGTGATGTATTGATGTACTCTGAAGAACAAGGATAACCACAAACGACCTATCACAAGTGTTTTCAGAATTGGAAAATTGTACAGCTTCGCTTTATAAGTTCTTACACAATTATATTTTTTCTTTTTGCAGAATATGTTTGGAACATTTTTCTTTTTAGCCTAAGTGGCAGCGATGAAGTATACAGTACATTTCCAAATGGTTTTGTCTCATAAAGGGGAAACTTAATGAGGCATCAAGGCCCTTAATGTAAAAAGAGAAAAAAAAGAGAAGGCACTGGAAGTTAAGGAAAGCCATTCTGTCGTGAGTCAGATGTGCCTGTGTAACTTTAGGGGTAGCATTTCACTGCAGTACGGGCCAGTTGGATGCCTGTCAATAGCTTTAGTTTCCGCACAATGACATGTTACCTCAGCGTCTAGCTAGCTCAGCTGGTTCCATCATGCCAGGACTTGGCGAGGGGTGATATTTATAGGCATGACACTGCTCTCCCTGACCACGCTCTGACTGTTGGAGAGGCTTGTAAAGTGCCCCATGCTGCTATTTGTGGCATAAAAGCAAAGCGACCATTTGTTGTGTGACTGTCCAATAAAGCTTGCGTATTTTCTCATCTTTCTTGTGCAGATTATTGTTACCAAGTACATGTAAAACTGTCAAGAAGGTTTCTTCTTTTCCGTACTGTTAGATGCAACCAATATGAGGCTTGTTGACTCCTATAACAGTGTTTCCTCTTGGCTGCAAGAGCATACGAGTACTGTGCAAGGAGGATGGAGTGGTGGTGGAGATACAATTGCCAGTAAACAGTCTTTAGTTTGCACTGCCAGCCAGTGAAAGTATTCAAACTTGTGTGGTTAAGATGTGAGTGCAGCTGTTTAAAATTCATGAAGCATGTTATTAATAAGTTAGAATACAACTAATTGTGATATTTAGAATATAAAAGTGATATTGAGACTTTCTAAACACCATCTTCAGGCTGCAGTGCCTACAATGTCAACCCAGAGATTCAAGTTTTAAAAAAAATCATGTCATCAACAGCACTTCCAATCTCAGCTCAGTAAATGTGTTTTGATCTGATCTATTTACCCAACATTACAATGATTAATGTTAAAGTAGTGGACTTGGTTTGATTTTAAAAGGGTGAGGCTCTGACATGTCCTTGAGATGCAGCGCCTGTGTTTGAGGGATAGGACATGGAAGTCAATGGGGAGCATCGTTATTTACTCCTTTCACTTGTGCTTGGAGTTCTCGCTTTCATATTTCTGAATATCCGTGAGTTTTCATGTCTTGGATACAGAATATCTTTGAACACATTTATCCAGAACTGAGGTGGCCTCTCGGGTGGCCAGTCAGATCGTAGGTGTGGCACTACATTTATCGGGAAAAGCATTGTCCGTATGAAATAAAACTCACATTTTAAAAGTTATTTTATTGGTTTTGGTGTACTTTCAGGCACAATATTTAGTTTCCAGTAAGAACAGAAGGCTAAAGGCTGTTAGAGGTTTACTTTCCCCTGGGCTGTGTTGTTAATCTGAACAAACAGACACATAATCTTTGTGTCTTGTAAAGGCACGTCTAGCACTACTTGCTCTGACGATAATTAGTTTTTTGAAGTTATTGCTTACTCCTCACTTTATTCATTTCCGTGATTACATTTCCCCCCCCCCCTAAAAAAATGTTTTTCATAAAACGAAAAGCTGATTTTCGGTAAACTTGCTAGAATGAGACGGACATAGTCAGGGCAGCAACAGTTGAAATTGCTACTGTTCTTAATTGGCTCAAACACGTGCAATTAACAATGATTGCAATCAGCAGAGGCAGCCCAGAGTTGAGCAGCCCAGTGTTAAAGTATATTATTATAGTCATTAGTGGCTGCAATTACACTGCTCTGCACCCTGTGTGTTAACCACAGTTTTGCACGTATTACTTTCCCTCAGGAGGTTTTTGATGTGCCTGCAACTTTACTCATTCATGTTCTTTGTTTGTGTTTTTTATGTGATGAAATCCATCTCTATAGCTGTTATTGTCGGCTCACAACAAACAGACAAGGATAAACTCGTCCAACTTTCACTCCATGTCTATGTCCTTTATTTTGTGTGTGTGTGTTTGCTTGTTTGTGAGGGACTTACAACAGTTGGTATGAGGCTGCCTGGCTTATTCGGGCCAACTGGAAAATAGTGAGAATAATCACTGGGTTTATGGAGATTTACTTTGCTTTAATGTGCAGCAAAAATATTTATTTTATGGAAAGACAGCCTTAAAGTGGTGCAGAAAGACGCGAGCTTCTTTTCCAGCACTGCGGCTAGGCATCGGTGAGAGCATGATTTTTATCATTTTAATATACACCATTTTAGAGTAGATGTGTGACCCATTATTCTCTGTATTGCACATCAGCAGACACAGAAGGACAGGCACGCAGAGGGAACGGGAGAACGAGCCAGACTGAGCTTGTACATATTTTTCCTTTCTCACTTTTACAGTGCGAGGAGCTCAAACAACAAAACAAGATACCTGAATACATTAAAAAAAAAAACAAGCGAGAACATTACCCAACAACCCCCCTCCTCTGCCCAGCAGCATCATAATGTAAAACAAATTCGAACAAAGCCTTGTGAAATTGAAATAAGCCTCTTTCGGCATCAGCCTTGGAATTAGTTTATTAGGCTCTAAAAGGGGCCTCGAAAGACTTAAAACCCCATTTTCACAGGGAAATTAGTTTTCAGAGAAAGATACATTGTTCACATTGGGAGATGATGAGTTGGTTTTACACAAAGGGGATTCTTTTGGCTGGGACTTCTATCAGATCAAGTCACCACAGGTAGTGGTGTGTTAGATGCTTTTTTTTTTGTCTTGTTTGTCCGGATTAGTTTGCAGATAAAGCCGAGAATAAACAGCGCTTTGTGTGTTTAGACTAATTCCCTTTGCTATCTAAACTTGGGATTTTGTGAGGTTAAACTAGCTGAAGTTGTCAGAAAATTTATATAGACACATTCATATTTTTTTTTCTCCCTGAAGCAAACGCATACAAATTAAAAAGTGCCTACCTGTGTCGTTTCCCTAGTTTATAGCAGTCAGTAAGATTCACCCTGGACTCTAACTTATTTATCTATAGTGATTTCACACTGTTTACAACTTTCCCTATTGCCAGTACAATCCACAAAAACTTTAGTAATAAAGGCAGGAACTGTTTTAACATCCCGCAGTAAAAGTGCTTTTTTTAATGCAAATTCCTGCAAATTGAAAAGCAGAACTTCAATAAGTGAATCCACACTGACGCACATAGACTATGCTTATACCTTTATTTACATGTTAACACTAGTAAATTAATGAATTCTCACATCCTGCGGTTTTTGTTGTGTTTTTATTGAAGGAGATGGATGGATGGTCGCAAACATGACAGAGGAAGGAATGGAAATTGGTGAGAGTAATGAGCAGTGATGGACAGATGGAGCGATAAGGATGGAGGGGAAGGCAGAGAAGCTTTTTAGGTGGATAGACAGATGGAAGAATTGATGGATGGAAGAATGCAAATTAATGGGTTTCTGAAGCATTTAGGCCCGTGTTCACAGTGAGAAAGGACTTTTAAAGGAAGGTAAAAAAAAAAAGGAGGAAGGACACCATTTCTGGACCCCAGCAAGCGCTTAGTGGATCCTCTCTTTCACCATTGAATAAACTCCACAGGTGAATAACAAAGAGCGCCTGATGGCCATGCATTCATCCTACGCTTTTAGTCATACACTTAAATGTTATTACCTATCAGAATAAAGTGAATTATTAATGCTGGAAAAGGTTTCTCTATTAAGTACAAATGTGTTTGGTATGTTTTCTTGTGTTTTGTCCTATTTTTATCTGTGTTTTCAGGGTTTGTCTTCTTTCAATTGTCCTTAATTGACCAAGATTTTTGCCTCAGCTGCTAACAAGAAAAGTTCCCTCTTCTTTACTTGCACTTGCCAATTAAAGTGTCTCAGAGTCTGATGATGATTCCGATAAGAGCGGTGAAACTGCGGGAGTGTGGCACCCGAAGATGTATTACTGATGGGCAGATTGTGAAAGTGATTGAAAGGAGGATTTGGAGTGAATTACAGCCACGGTAGCTGGCAGTGCCGATCGTGTCCTTGAGATGAGACGGCGTGATGCGGACCGCAAGGTGTGGCCGTGTGACATTAATTCACACATTACCATATCTGCCACACACATCTCATGCGGGAAGACATCTGTCCACCCTAGCTGTGTGTAAGATAGAAGTATAGGCAAACATTCATTCATGCGCTGACACACTCGCGCGCAGAGGTGTGGACCAGTGCCATCACAACTCTTCCTCTGCTCACAGTTGACCCGCTCCCTGAAAGACAAGTGGTATTGACAGAAGTATGTAGTTAGGGATGTAGCAGCAGTGTGCGTTTGTGCGCGCTTGCGTTCGGTGTGCAAAAAGTGGGTGTATCTGCCAGCGATAGGGGCCACACTCCCAGTTGTCATTTTATAACAGCTTGTAGACAAACTCATTACATCCAACACCTGCTCTCATCACGTACACCGAGGACGCGCAAGTGTGTGTGGGAAGCATGCGTGCAAGTCAAGTGTATGAATTCTCTATAATTTAGCTGCAGTCATCTATGTTTGAGTCTTCTTTGGCAGCAACTTGAAGTGACAGCTATTTTGTGCCTTTTAGAGATTGTTGATGTTTGAACCATCTTCTTCTGCAGCTTTGCTCAGTGAACAAGGGGCATCTTGTTCATATTTCCCTCTTCTTCGCGTTTTACTTTGCGCGTCTGAGTTGCAAATTAGGAGCAGCAACTACACGAGTAACTGTCTTTTCCTAAGTGAATGCAGAACAAGGTCTCACACTGAAAAAAATTGCAGTTAACTTACAAAGAAGACAGACTGCCAGCTTCTGAGAGCTTTCTTGAGAAGTGGAGATGATGAAACGATGACACCCAACTTCAGCTGATCCTCCAGACCTCTTTTGTTGTCTTTGTTTTGCCTGAGTTTTCGTCATTTAAACACAAATTACTAGTGAACAATTCTCATAGATCTTCTTTTTTTTTTTTTTTATAGCTGTGACAGAGTCATGAGGTTATTCACAAATTGGCATAACCCACATTCAGGCGTGCATCAGTCTGCAGCCAGATATTTAGAATCCATTTATACGAAGATTTTGGCAGTGACTGCATGTGATGGACGAATATAAAGTGTCCCTCCTCTGAGCTGTGGTGCAGGTAAACCTACCTTTACATACAGTAAGCCAGTAATCCAGACACATTTTTTTCATTTAAGCTAATACATTTTGGGCAGATCAGCTGAAATTGAACATTCTTTTTTTTGTTTTAATTAATTTGTGAGATATTTGTTAGATATTACAACCGGAGCAATGGGAGATTTTGAGAGTGTTTGTATTTGTTGAGCCACTGGAAGGCTTTAATAACATATTAAAGTGTAGCCATTACCCTTTTTTGTTGTCAGATCATACAAAATAAATTTTAAAAAGACATTGCTTTTATTTTTTTCCCAAATAAAGTGTGTGGAAAGTGGAGGAGATGGGCAGTACAGGTTGCTACTGTACTCTTAATGTAGCCAAGCCTTCCCTATAATCCCTAAAAGTTGACAGGGGGATTAGAGGGATAATCCTCGTGTCTTTTCTTTTCCACCATCCTCACTACTGTTACCTTTCTTCTCATTTTCTCCCCCTTACTGTTCCGTCGCGACAAGACGCAGACAAGACAGCGCTAAAGAGAGAATCAGCACAAGAATTAGTGTGTCTGTGTCTGTGTGTGTGCGCGCATATGTGAAATGAAGTCCAGTGGGAGAATCCGAGAGGCTGAGAATAATTAGCTCCAGCCTAATGCCAGGTCAGCCTTTTGTAGCGTTCGTCTAGATACCGAGTTTATGCATACAGTGCGTGTGTGTAGGTGTGTGTTTCTCAATGTATGCTCATCCTTGCATGGGCATGCCCTATTCTAAACTGTTTACACTGAGGTGAACGCTGGCAGACAACATTGTGGTTATAGAGTTTATTCTTTCCCACTGCCCTTGACCAGTCTCTTAACACAGAGAGCAGAAAGATAAGAGAGGATTTACACACAATACTGAAGCCATTAGCGTCTGGCTTTTCTCCCCCTCTTTCGCTCTCTCTGGGGTTTGTTTAGTGTTATCAGATCCACTGGGATGTGTGGATGGCAGATTGAATGTCCACAGCCATGGAAAAGGCCAAAGATGTCTAACCTCCCATTCACACACTGCTATCCTCATCAACAGAGGGCCCTTTGTCCCACAGCAGTCAACGAGATGGACAGTACAAGATAATTGCATTTGGACAATAACCGTCTCCTCTGTTTGTTTGAATGCGTACAGTCTCTTTGGGATGAAACGGTAGATGAGTGCGGCTGTGCGGGAGGGAGGAGGGGTGAGTGATTCTGTTTGTTTGTCTTTGTGTGTCTCTGAATTTCTCTATCTGTATGCACGTATGAATGAATGGGCTCGATAAAAGATTTTTTGGAGCAACATCCAATGGCGAGCTGTCATCGTCTATCTCACAGGTTGAATGGTGACTGGCAGGGACTAGACAGTGAAGTCATAACTTGACTGATAAGATTCTTCAGGAGCTGCTATCGGACCCCCCTAAACCAGCAGGGAAGCCAAATGGAGCTGAATGGCAGCATCTCATTTCCTCCAATGATGTCATTTCTCTTTGATCCAGGTGCGATCTGGTGAAAAGCATGGGAACATGTGAATTTTACACAAATGTGCATGTGCGTTCGCAAGTGATCCTAATTCAATATACTGAGATATTTTCAGAGTTATGTGTAAACTATAAAAAAACTATACACATTATGTGAGGTTACCCATACTGTATGTTTATGAATAGATGGAAAGCCTGGAGTTTGTTTAACTGATATCATCTTTGTTCTCAGTGACTCTGACAATAATATCCACTTAGGCTGAAATTGTTTGTATATTGCCAAAGTTCAGGGCTATACAGTGAGCACTGTTTCACTGTTAATGGGTGTATTCAGTTTGCTTCAATTCAATTTAGTTTGCCTCAAGGCGCTTTATATTGTAAGGTAAAGACCCTACAGTAATACAGAGAAAACCCCAACAATCATATGACCCACTATGAGCAACCACTTTGGCAAAACTGGGAAGGAAAAGCTCCCTTAACAGGAATAAACCTCCAGTAGAACCAGGCTCAGGAAGGGCCGGTCATATGCCGTGACCGGTTGGGGTTAGGGGAGGAAGACAGGACAGAGACACTCTGTGGAAGAGAGCCAGAGATGAATAATTACTAACAATTAAATTCAGAGAGGTGTATAAACACCTCTTAATACTTCGTACACAGTGTTACAGAGAAATCTACGGATGATTGGATAACAGTGGAAAGGTCTGTGAGCTGAAACGATCTAGGAATGTATCACCAAATGCCGTTTCCACAGTGGCTCCCAACTTCTTTATTTGTCGGGTTCTTTTTACCCCCACCCCTGACATTAGTTAGGGAGCTGCTGCTCATGCACCTCGCAAAGCTCAAGATGTTGTGACGACCCTTAAAAACAACTTAATCACTTCATCATTTCTCAGTAAAAAGCAGTCAGTGTTTAACGAGAAAAAAAGGAAAGCGGAAATATAATCCCCTATTACTCGTAATGGCTGAAACAGGGTTGGGCATTGGTCCTGTGCAGAGACTACGGACAGCTTTGGTTATTATTGTCTGTTCACTGTTGTGAGGCAGCATTGTCGCAAACAGCCAGTCTGTGCGCTACTCTTGCTTGTGCTGTTTTTGGGCCATCAGCTAATCGGAGAGAGTGTGAAGTTATACAACGAGCTACAACAAAACTGTGTTAAAAACAATGAAAAGTGTCCTGTCTGTGCATTTTATGTTGATTTTTTTTAAGGATCTTTGATGGATTGCATGCTTTTCCCACTTGTGGTGAACTCAACTGTCGATCCTTCTCCTGTTCCAGCCCACCTATAAGCCAATCAGCATTTGACCTACGCACCTCTAACTTCTTCATATTGTCCTGGGAAAGTAGGAAATAGATGCAACAGTTTACTGGAAGAGGTGCAAACATAAATTGAAATACAGTATATAAGGCAGATTTTTCTACAAATCCAGAAAGCCATCCTTTCATTGAAACATTTCTGATGAGGCTACGGTGAACAAATTAAGGACAAGCTGTATTTTAGTTGATCATTTTGCAAAAACCATGCAAAAGTATTAAAGTCTGATGTATCTTATGCTTCAGTGATCTTTCCTATTTTTTTGGCTTTGTTATGTGACGCTATCCCATTCAGATAAATGCCCATTTCCTTATTAGCGATGTGTTTGTTTGTGGTCGATCGCCTAATTTAAAATTACTCTCTCAGCTTTGGTTTTAACATTCATCTGTGGGTGGTTTATAATTACTAGATTTATTCCATCCACCTCTGACACCAAATCAGATTCTAGTCCCTCCACATCAGGCCAGCTGTTGAGCATAATGTTTTAATATATGAAATTTTGTCTTAGATATAATTAACACGGACAGCTATTCAGTACGGTTGCCTAATTTACTTGCTAAGACATAATAGGGAAGGGCGAGGTGGATTGTTTTGGTTTTGTAATGAATAGAGTGGTAAAGGGAAGGACGTCAGCCAATGCTGTCAATTATCACTGTTTTTTTATGAGCCATGTTTGACAGAGAAGAATCACAGCCGGCGTCTGGATCACTTTCTCACCTGCTCCGCCTTTCCTTCCTCTGGCTTTCTCCCATTCATTCTCCAGAGGCTCATTGTGCCTCCATCTCTTGGCCTTCCCTCTTTTCTTCAAGACATCACTAACCCACACTAAATCTTCTTTATTTTTGGCTTCACCTTTTTAGTTCCATTGTTAATATATAAATACACTTCTTTTGTTTTATTTATTTTTTTCTCTCCTGTCCTCTTCTTCTTCTTTTCAATACTATCTTATTTTCTTCAGAGGGTGTAGTGGGGTTGACAGGCAGTGAGCTCACAGTTGTAACCTCCCTGCCACCATGCCAGGCGAGGCGCCACTTGAGGGTTTGGCTGCAGATTGAATAGCTCCCAGAGATGTCATATCCAGACAGCCTCCCTGAATTACATTTCCTGGTCTTCCCTGCCTGGCTGCCTGCATACCTCCACCAATCAAAGCGGCCCGGAGTTGCCATGTGGCTGCCCACTCTGCTCTGCCTGTATTCTGTTTCTTTTCCTTCTTCTCTCGCTTTACCTCACCCCCCACCAGCACCCCCACTTACCATCTCTGGGGTATGTCCCTCACAGAAATTATTCCTTCACCACTTGTCGGGCAATCCAGGCACTTTGAGGCAGAACAGCAGATGGGCGATCTGATTGGCTGTCAGCTTATGTTTATTTCCTTGTTGTCAGGGTGTCAGATGAGATAAAACATTGTTCTGCTGCATTTGTCATGTTCTCTCTGTGGGGCTGATAAGAAATGAGAAAAGTTTAGGTTATAGGACATGTGGTTGAACAGATTGGGCCGCGGCTGTCAGAGGTGTTCCATTGTATAATTTTTAAAACAGATTTTTCTTTTTACTTTTGCTTGTTTTTCAATGTTAATCTTCTTTGCATATATACATTTTAACTTTGCTCCGTCAGCGTTCAGGAATTTTAATGATCCTGAATTTTAACTTATAATATCTTTCAGCAAAAAGCGATTATTACTTGTGTCATTGCAGGCATTAGATCACTCAAACAAACTTTGCATTAAAAGAAAAATTGGCAAAGAAAGGCATGCTTTTGCTTTTTATATATTCACACAGGAGTTGAGCTAAAAACTATAATAATCTTAGCATGTGTTTGGCTCAAGCCAGTGATCCTCACTGTGGGGTTTTTTGTTACTGTGTGTGACCTGAAAATGGGTTATGTGAGTCGGAGCTAAGAAGGAGCACACTGTGGTTTTACTACTTGCAAAGTAGAGCTCTGGCTCTTGGTTTCTTTTGATAAATTGATTAATGAGGAACAGCCTCAACTGTATGGGCTACAAACCCCATATACACGCATGACTTGTGCATGTAAATTCCAAAATAAAACACTTAAAGCATCCAGTGCCAACATCCAATTGCACCCTCTGGAATTGGATATGGTTTGGCTTTGTAATCTAACAAACAGGTGGTGGATTAAGCATTCATACCCACACTACTGGCACACATAAACACAAACACACACACCTCAGGTGGTGGAGTGAGCTTCCATGCTGTGTGGATTTGTATCTAAGCCGAGACATAAAAGTGAACTGGCAGAATAGGAGGTGTGCCTCTCCAGCCCTCCAGTCTGCTGATTTGGGTTGAGTCTGTGTACATGTGTATTTGCACATGATTGCATAAGAAAATAATGTATTGAAGGAAGCGATTTTTTTTTGCTTTGTAGTGTGCGTCTCTGTGCACAAAATTCGGATTTTCTTTCTTTTTTATCAACCCCTCTGGCTTTTGGCAGAGCCTTTGCTCCACCCGTCCTTGAATGTTAGCTGGATACTCGTAGGTGCTGAAAAGATTTTGGATTACGGAGGATATTATTGTGGGTTGAAATATGTTAGCCTTTATGTGGGTGCATTATCACCCTGCACAATTAGGATTGTCTGAATTTACTCTGGATGACATCACATCTCATGGTGGAGGTGGTGAATGAATCACGGTCAGGGTTTATTTTATTGCTAGGTTAAAAGAGTCCACAGACACTTGCTCTTGCACGTACACACTTCCATTCACACACATATGCTCAAATATAAAATCACTTCATAATCTATGCAGCCATGTCCTGTGTGCAGACTTTATGTATCAGCATGTCTGCTGATTCTTACACAGACATGCAAACATGCTCACATGTCATTGTAATGCTTATGATGCTTGTTTATGGAGGTGGAAATTAGCATTCTCCGTGGTTGTGTCTCTCATAGGAGGGGAGGATACGGATTGTAAATCTTGTTGATCTGAGTACAATGGCTTCGTCTTGCAGTGATTGTGATACCACATCATCGCGTCTGCATGCTCACAAACTCGCACACAGTTGGTGTACCAAACCCCAGCTGCATAGCTCCCTGCGTTGCCTGTCTCCAACCCATGCTGAGTGTGTAATGAGCGGAGCTTGAGTAAGATTAAGGCAGATATTGTATGGGGTTGGAGGATTGGTTTCACTTTGAGTCTTAGTGTAGTGCCGGAGTTCACTCCAGTGCTTCTGCTGGCTGGCTGAATGACCAACAGGATCCCCACTGCTAGTCTCCTGTCATTTGTCATAGCGTTTTACTCAACACTGCTAATGTGTTTTGAGGCAAACACGCACCACTCATCAGGGGGTGTCTTTTCTTTGGAAATATGAACCCTGTTGTAAACTCTAGAGAAGTACACTGGGGCGATGCCCATGAAAGGATGAGTGACAGTGGTAAAGAGGGGAAAAATGGCAAGGATAGAAGAATGCTTTATGGTGAGGAGAAAGGGAGGTTTTAGATATGTGATGGGGTTTCCTTGCTCCCTGTGAAGGAAAACAAGAGGCTAGAAGGGGAAGGGATTGTGAGAAGAAAATGATTTTATGAGGAGGAGAAACATCAAAGAAAGTACACGGGGATAGGAGAGCAAAAAGAGAGAAAAAGAGAGCGGGCGAGAAGAATGGGGCAGAGAGAAAAGAGGGCTAAACAGTAACAGAAAAGTTGAAAGACAGGAGAAAAGGATGGGATGTTCAGATGAAGGGCTGGAAAGCAAGAGACCCAAGACAAAACACTCAGAGGGTGAGATGGAGAGGAAGAAAGAGCGGGCCAAGCACTGCTATCATCTGGAATCTATAGAGAATGAATGGGCAGCATGAAGAGGCTATAATCACATCCATCAACAACACTGTCTATTACAGCCTGTTCTTCTTATTCTACTTTGTCTTCCTCCCTCTGTCTCCCTAAACCACCAGCTCTGGTCAATTCTCCGGCACACTAAAAAGAAGATCTTTGTAAAGAGAACGCTGTAATATCAATAGTTATGCAAAGAAAAAAGATTAAAGGCTGTACATCTGGCTCCCAATCCTCTTGGGCTACAAGATGTGTCATCCATCATTTTTCCATGTGACTGTAAACTTTACTGACATGATTAGAAAGACAAAGATGGATACAAAAACAACCCAGAAGGCATAAACAAGAGTGATTAACCCCTGTGTTTGGTATTCTAAAGTACGAGGACAGAGTAAGGATTTATATACTGATTTAGGTAATATAGTGTGAAGGAAATAATAATAGCTGAAATAATTGTTGATGCTGGGAGCCCTGTCAAAATACCGGTCCAAATTCTCCCATATGGCTGTAATTGGGTTGAGATATGCTGATTTGGAATGCCAAACATGTTATTCAGATGATTATTATACCCATCAAATCATTCACACACTGTGGGTGTGGACGTTGGCATCATGGTAGATGGAGCTCCCATCAGAATAGAAAGTTATTTTTATAGGATAAAGATGAGTTGGAACTACTTTCTACTGATTTGCAGTCCCACTTTGCTTAGTAGCCAAATCATGCCCGCGCAATGAACCCTACATAGCAGAGCCATTGGATCGCCTCAGTTGAGGGCTCATGGGTTCAGGTTCTTGACTGTAATTTGTCACCCACCTGTAAACAATCTGCCCTAGTGCACTTATCATACAAATACGTTGTGGATGGAAAGCCATAGCTTAAACCCTATACTTAGCTAGCAGTAATCCAGTGAAAGTGTTACCTGATCAAGACCATTTTAGTAAATTGACTTTGCTATCAAGCTAATAGATTGTGCTAAATGTGGCATGAGCCATGGAGAGAAAGAGATGGTGATGATCAAGAGCTGTTGCATGAGGCTGATAGGACAGCAACTTGAAGGGGGATAAACCCCATTCTTGTCCTCCTTCCCCCATAGTTGTCTGTTTCTTCCCTTCTCCTATAGCACGTAAAACTCTTCACTTTCTCTTGGCGGGGGATCAAACGGAGCGTTCTGTTGGGAAATTCATTTAGGATTCTGGCATTTTTCAGGGGGTGTTTGGGCCAATGGGCTGGCGAGCAAAGCAACATCTGTTTTCATGAATACTTAATGGCCGTGTGTCACCAGAGTCAAACGGCTGCTCTGAGAGCCGCTCCCACTGTTATTACCATCATGGATATTTAGCCACCGGTTTCTCATTAGGATGTTTCTCTCTCCTGTCCCCACGGAGGGAACAATTGGATTAGCAGCTAGTTTTTACAGTATGTGGTAGAGCCCTCTCCCTATACTACAGGTTATTTATTTTTTTTACGTGGAGGTTTTATTTGTAGTGTGACGCGTGCGTTTTATTGGTAAGAGGTGATACTTTAATATTATAACACCAAGGGAATGTGAAAGCAATTTGCGCTGTAAATCAAAGAGGACAATTCAGTGATATTATCCTGTAGGTGTAGGTGTTAGGGTGTAAAAAGAAAGCGAGAGGAATCCTCCGCCTGCTTTAGCTCGGGCAGTAGCAACTGTCAGCAAATCTGTCTGGAAACTTGTAGCTTAGAGCGAGTATAGTTTGTAAGACAGTACTGCTGCTTTTCAGCTTTCTCTTAGTTTTGCTCATCTCAGTGCAAAGATGGTGCCCTGGGTCATGGGGGTGATGATCAGGTCAATGTGAACTCTCCACAAATCAAGTCAGAGACCAAAAGTCAGGCATGAATGTTGCCAGGATGAGGCACAACTTCAGGTTCAATTTTTAAAAATTGAAGAGATACAGATTATTGTTTTGCATAATCTCCTATTCCTGTTTTGTAACTTCATCTTAGAATTATTTGGGGCTTTGTTTCCTGGCACAACAGCAGTATTCAGCAGCAGGTGTGTGGGTGTGTGTGTGTGTGTGTGTGTGTGTGTATGTGTGTGTGTGTGTGTGTGTGTGTGTGTGTGTGTGTGGTATTGATGATTGTTTTACTAGACATGTTGAAGTAGTTTCATGGACAAGCAGCGTCTCGTAAAATGATGAGGCACAGTGTATTGATGTGATCTGGCATATTTGTGGTTGTAATGCGGTTGTCATGCTCGAGCCCTCTAATGCACTCTCCTCCCTTTTTGGTGTTCTCTCTTTTCTCGTCTCCCTCTCGTTTAAGTACAGTATTCTTGTGTGCGCTCTGTCATGCGCAGCCTGTCATAGCATATTCTGCTCACATTGTTCACTGTCAGTGGGAAAATAGAATGTTTTGTAAGTTTCAAGGAAAACCTACTGAACATCCTAGGTGACAGAAGTGTGCTGAATGTGTTCAAAGGATCGCAGAAGCCATTTTCACCATCGATCAGCAACCCTGTCCAGTTCGGAATCTACTGTTTCTCCTCTTCCAGAGTCTTTAGAGCAGTGTGAGTCCATTGATTAGGCTTTGTCATCTTGGTGTGTGTGCGGGTAAACCAGTGATCGTAATGAAGCTGAGTCCATCTAGCCAAGCTGCAGGAGCAGTGCGCACTAGCACCAAAAATGTAACAGTTCATTTGTTCTCAACAGGAGTCGGCTTATGAGGCAAATTCACCGTAATTAAAGCCATTTCGTGTAATTGAAGTATTCGTCTCTCTATCATAGTAGCAAGAAAATTACATACTGCAGTACGACTTGTTGGACCATTGTACAGAATTTGTTGTTGTTAAATTCAGTGGCCTTCTTGCTCTTCACCCCCACACCACCCCCCCAGACACACATTCCCCTTCTCCTTTCCTCTTCATATCCATTAGCCTAATGAACACCCTCCAATTTCCTGCCACCATCACAAACGTGGCACACAGTATTGTTCTCTTGTCTGTGTGCGGACATATGCCTAAGTGGTGCGCACACACTCATGCATGTGTTTGTCATGTTTGCATGTGTGTTTGACAGAGAAAACGGGCAGGAAAGAATGGGTTGATAAGCTCTCATTAAAATAGATGGCAGTAATCAAAGTGCAGAGCAATTAGCTTTGGCTGAGTTGGCGGAGGGTGTATACCGTGTGCCACTGTGTCAGGCATATTGGTAAACATCGTAATAGTTCACCTCTCTCTGCATGTGGACATGGAGCAGAAGAGTTATGATATGCAGCCCTAAGGGGCACGCTCACCTCAATTTATCAAAGTCAGACTGGCTATTTTCTTCAGAGCCTGAAACAAGATTCTGTTATTAGCTAGTGCTTATTGGTTGTATTATCTCTGCAGGAGAAATCGCATTTAATCATAGTGAAATGTTATTGTGTGCTTTTGGACAGCATTTCAAAAAAATAGGGACCTGCTTTAATGTCAGAAACAGAAAAAAAATGTTTTGACTCAGTAATTTCTATTAATATTTGAGTCAATCAAACTTTTTCTTTCAGAGATCCATAAAAACAAACAAGATGTCTCATAAAAATAAATAAGAATACACTCAGGTTAACTTCCCACAAATGGTCAACTCTACCAGTGTTTCTACAGTAGAGACCGATAGATAACATGTTTAGCAACACAACACAACACATAAGAGAAATCATTACACGACCAAAGTTATTGTGACCACGTGCAATGAACTAACAACCTTGTTGCCTTTAAAAGCGGTATCAGATCTGCGACCGCTGGTTGGCATCTTCAAAACAACCTTGGTGCATTAAGACGGAGTCAGTCTGCTATTAGTTTGCGATTGAATCGATCAGGTTGGCACTTACATGCAGTCTCTTTGTTATAATAGCGCAATTAACTGTGGTTAATTAACTGGCAAAAATGAAAACGTAAATTCAGAAATTCCTCCATAAATAGTGGTACTCGGAGGCCTGAAACAATATTCTGTTGCTTTTATATGGAATTATTACCAGAATGCAACCAGCAGAGTCAAGTCCCCTTTAGCCAAACCATTTCATTATAGGTGAGTTGCACTGAACAATGCACACGATCTCGGATTGCGTTATCAATCTGTCTTCTATTATAAATTAGAAGGTAATCATTTGCAAACGTTTTCCAATGTGTGTGAGTGTAATTGCAGTCAGTCTGGATTGGACCACGATTGGTACCTGTTACCGATCAATCTATGCAATTTCCGTGGGCCCAAAAGTGGTTACCACAACTACTATTACTAACCCTACTATAAAATGCACTATCAGTGCGTTTTATAATTAAATTGATTACAATTTCATTAATTAGTAATTAATTAGCAAAAGTCCTTTAATGATAAAAAGGCTATTTTTCATTTTAGCAGAGTTTAATACTGAAAGGTTTTAACCAATTTTCTCTTCTTCAAGCTGACCGAATAAATAAATAGTGTGTAGGAAAGCAGATGCATCCACTACTTTTATTCCACACAGTGACATCTATCATGGGCAACCATCTCTGTCTTAACTGATCGTCTCACATGGGCAGAGATTCACCAACCTTCTCTCACTCAGACACACAGGCAGCACGCCACTGTGTCAGCTCAGACCTGAGGCTGTAAGTGTTATCACCATCTGCCACGGGGCAGTGCTCATCTTCTCCTGGGTTATTTATTGTGTTATGGCTGCAGTGGGTTGACTGTGGAGGCAGATAGGGGCATGGCATTGCTTTACAGAACCCGGTTATTCATTTACAGGTGAGTATCTCACTTGCATGTCCTCAGGGAAACTACTTAGGTGCAAGAGAGAGGAGGAAGGAGTAGCAGAGGAAGTGTGGAAAGATGCGTGAGTGATGTCAGCCCAGTTTGGTTTCTGCTGGCAACCGAAAAGCGGCTTTAAAATACTGTTTGTGCATGTGCATCACGGAGGCCCGTCAGTGTTGGCAAGGCAACAGGCTGTCCATTTGGATGAACTTCAAGGGAATAACTGCCACTTAACCTCACAAAGTGCTTAGTTGGCTTTTTCACTCTAGTTTCTGATGGAAATACGGACCGGTTTGTAAGTGACACTTGTTCTTGGGGATTGTCGTCCAGGAGTTTACGGTTGAATTTATATCAAATGTCAATGAAAGTCTGATGTAGTTTTGAATTCAGTTTTATTACCCAAACTGCCAAATTGTTATTTACTCAGAGCAGGACTGTCTCTTTACTGTAACTTCTACCACTTACTTTGGAAACTTATTTTTTTAGCCTGTGATTACAGCTGGAGAAAATGTTTATTTAAATAGCAGGCTTCACAGCGGATAAGAGAAGACAGGGGCACAGAGGTCTTTATGTTTCTCCTTTCTGTTGGTTGGCTTAAAAAGGGTGTTTTAGTCCTTGCTTTGCTTTCCCAGACAAACCAAAAAAAGCACAGGTTGTGGAGGAAAGACGAGATTCATGGGCATTTATGGCTCCAGTTATGATCCCATCGGCACATTCTTGAGCAGGCCGATGACAACCTGCTGGAATGCTCTACCGTTTTGTTGAGTCGTTTGAAAACATGATTAACTGTAGTGGAACACAATAGGAATGTGATTCTCATCACAGCAGTGGGTATGGCAGGCTAGCCTGGGAAGTCATCCAGGCCCTAATTGTTGAAGCAGACTCTGATTCAGACGGCTTGAACTTACACACACGTACACTGAATGCACACAAATAGACACAATTGTATCCGCGTATCAAGTTTGAGATCAGTGTTGATCCATTAAAGGGGAGAAAAGAAAAACAAAGGAAAAGGAGTATCCAGAGACTTTGAGGAATTGTGCTAACAGATGATTCAGGTTAGCTGATGTGGATGTGCTTTTAGAAGGTTCAGATGTATCAGAAACAGAGCCTGCTGGGGTTATAAGTAAGTTGCATAAAGTAAGCACTGGCTTTCTCTCCACTTCTTGTCAAAGCAGGTGTCAGTGTTTGTAACGATAAATGTCCTGCTGGTCATTTAAAATAAAACACATGAATAAATTGTATGGGCAGCACTCAGATAAAGTGGTGCTGTTTGTGTTTTGTATTGTTTTAAGAAATGCAACACTTTGTGGTCATGGCAAATGGTTTGCATGGCTCATAGATAGATGTAATGTTATATAATATAATGTTATATAATATATATTTTATTCCCTTAGGTTTCCACAGAGGTCAGAACAGGCTTTCATTGGAGACTGCAAAAGCTGTCAAAAATAAATAGAGATGGGCCTGGCTGTGTGAGACAGAAAGCTTTTTTTTTAGCTTGTGGTGCAAAAACATTAAGCAGCCAGGTGTGTGTTTTTGCATTGTAGATCACGAGAGAATCGACTAATTCTAGCAGAAAACCTAAGGGATGTTACCACATGATGAGAATGATGATGAGACAAAAGGACAACATGGCAGCTGCCTTTTTAAATTGCGAAGATGCTGAGGCTTATATAGAGTTGCAATTTTGTTTTCTTTTGCACTTGATTGCAAGTGTCTGAAGAAGAAAGCATACAGTTTGGAATATTTTGCATATTTAACTAACACCATAACACAGTCCTGTTCGATGCATTTTGACAGATATATGTATTAGTGTCTATTGTGGAAAGTAAAAGAAAGACACATAAATGTTGCTCTCTGTGTGCGCACTGCTGAGAAAAGACAGGGAGATATGTTTTCAGTGTGTACTGATCTGCTCACTGTAAAACAGGAAAAAAAGATGTATTCATCTTCAGTAATACCAGGGCTGCAATAATACCAATATTATTACAGTGCAGGAGTATGTTGCACTCTGCTCTAAACATTAAACACATGAGACTGAGTAAAGAGCTACAGGACAGAGCCAAACTTTACTGTGCTCACAGCTTTGAGCCATCCACCTATACCTGTTTTGCTAACTTAGAGGCAACTACTGCACACATTGGGTGCAAAATACGGCATGCTTTTCGATGTTAAATTTACCATAGTTTGCACTTAATTTCATGCTGCAAACCTTAGTAACTTAGTAATGCAGTTAAGTTGGAACTCAGCTTACTTAGACTGATTACAAATTGTTGGCAGATTGTTGGCAGTATGTTTGCTTTAATAAA